GACAGTGTCCCTCTTAAAATTTCCAGCTGGGAACTGTCCATGGTCCTCTAAGGCACAATCTGACCAGCTCAGGGCAGAGTGTTTGCAGTACTGTGGTGAAGCCCAGGAACACACTGGCCTCACAAGCAGCTAAAATCATTGTCAACTTGTATTGAGTTTGTCAATAATGAGAATTTCAAGCTTAAGTTGAATTATTACGACTTTCCAAGGTTGATGATGCCAGTGGGACAGCCAGAGGGGCATGTGTGTATGTGTGTGGGTGTTCCCATCACTACTGACTCAGCACTTTACAGGGACCAGAATTTTCTGGGTGTTTTCATAGTTGTCACTGTTCTGTCATATCTTCCTTCCAGTTATCCCCCCAGCAACAGGGCTCTTCTCCAGAGATGGCCCTTCTCCAGAATGGGCACTTGCTTGCACTGTTTCTAGAGTGGTGCCCATTGATGTAGGTACAAATGGCACGAGACACTTGGTTAGGCACCTTACCTTTTTCACTAACTGTACCTTGGAGAGTCTTCCATATTAGTACATAAAAGGTTTCCTCCGTTCTTTTTAGGACTACATAGCATTCTATGGTACAGGTGTCTCATATTTGTTTAACTAATCACATATCATTGAATATTTGTGTAGTAGCCAATCTTTTGCTGTTTGTAATAGAATAACTTTACACATACATCACTTTCCATATTTAGTAAACTAGCCTACAGATCTGTTCTTGACACTGGACTTGCAGGGCCACAGGGTATGTGTATATTCTACTTTGTTAGATATTTATTCCAGACTTACACCTATTCGCACTTCTACCAATAATGAATAAGGACACCTGTTTGTGGGAATTTCTGAGCTTTTTTTGTTAACTTTAACTACAGTAGGTAATCAACTGGTTTTTAACTTCACAAAATGTGTCTAGAGTTGGATGAATTAAACTCAAGCCAGAGGTTGATCATTAGTCATATATTTTTGAGAGGCAGTTTGATCTCATGTATATGCAAATCCATATAACAGGTAACCACATTAAAATAGGAAACGCTTGTATTTTAAAAATAAACCTTTGGGGGAGCCTGGGTGGCTCAGGCAGTTGAGCATCTGACTCTTGGTTTCCATTCGGGTCATGATCCCAGGGTTGTGGGATTGAGCTCCCCCACTCCCACCCCCTGCCACTTCAGGCTCCACACTGAGCATGGAGTCTGCTTCAGATTGTCTCTCTCTTTCCCTCTCCCCCTTCCCTCCCCCTCACATATAAATACATACATACATACATACATACATACAAAGCTTTGAATGGTTTTATTATGTAATGCATTTAATCTCGGAATTAATACAGACATGCATTTAATTGGGAAGCTAACTCAAACACCTTAATCATATTGTTTACAATTGTTTTTGTTAAAAGTAATTGTGAATGGGTTGTTATTCATTTCTTGCATTAGTAAGGCTAAAGATAAGGACAAGTTAACAATGGAAAAGAAAAAAGGGATCCCCTCATTGTCTCTTTAAGGTCTGTCCTCGTTTGCAAATATGATTTCCTCTGTGGAGGTCAGCCCTGATTTTGCTTAGAGAGAGCCACTTGTTTCTTGTTCTGTATGTCAGTGTAGTGTGACAGCAGTCCCCAGGTCCTGGCCAGTGATGCCAATGTCATATTACATAAGTGTATCCTTGAGGTAGCCATGCAACCGGACCCCAGCGCCGTCTCTGCTAGCTCTACAGGTAATTGCATCTGTAGTCTGAGGACATCTGTTCCCAGTAGATCAGCCGGTGCTCCTGAATCCTCAAGCACTTAATCAGAGCGCCGAGGGAGTGGCCATCCCCAAGGCCTTGTCACTGGCTCCCAAGGTCTGCACTTCGTGTGAGAAACAGCCTATAGTTCCCTGGGCGGAAATGTGTCCAGAAGAGAAATCTAGCCTGCTGACACGTGCTACTGTATGTCATGGTCACAAATGAATTTTCTGATTTTTATCAGACATAAAGTTTCATGCGTTGAATTTGTTAGGGAAATAACAATCTGATATTGTCTTGTCTTTAGGGCAGGGGAAATAATAATCTGATATTGGGGTGGAAAAAGTTCCTCCTAGCTGGAATATTTTAACTGTATTTATTGGTCGCTTGGTGTAAGCTTCCAGCTGGTTAATATATGCCACACGGACAGTGTGTCTATAGTACTCAAGTGTCTGGTATATTTCTGTGTGTATTTTGAGGACTTTTTGTACTTAGTTAAAAATATCGCTCACTCTCTGGGTCATGGAAATTCCCCTCTTTTGCATTAGGGGTTTTCTTTCAATATAAAAGTCAACGTATAATATTCTAGAGGTTTTTTGTTTGTTTGTTTGTTTGTTTTTGTTTTTTTAGAGCTGTGTATCACTGAATTTGGGACTTCAAGTCTCTAACCACATGATAGATTATAGTTTCAAAGTAAAATATTGTTCTAATTTATTATCACTAGCTCTGATACTGGTTACCCAAATGGAGCAGCTATTGTATTACTATCTGAGAAAGAAATCTGTAAAATGTTAAAATATTGTATTTGGGGTAAAGTGCCCTTGATTCTACTTTAAGGGCCATAAGTTAATTAGCGGTAGTGGAGCTTCTCCATGTGGAAGACTAGTATTGAAAGGGAGCCGGGAAATGAAGCTGTTGCCAAGACCTTGAGAAGCAAAGTGTTTCACAAAATAGGTTCCATAATCCATAATTAGTTTAGCCATTACATCTCTGAATAAGGCAGCCTTCTCTACCCACCTATCCACTCGATGGCTTTTATTTCAAATTGATGCTGGAGACTTCCTTGATTTTAAAAAAATCAGAAGAAAAAAATAAGATATTCTCTTTTTTAAAAGACCAGTGCTGGGGCGTTTGGGTGGCTCAGTCAATTAAGTGACCTGACTTTAGCTCAGGTCACGATCTCAGTCTGTGAGTGTGAGCCGCATGTCAGGCTCTGTACTGACAGCTCAGACCCTGGAGCCTGCTTCAGATTCTTTGTCTCCCTCTCTCTCTTCCCCTCCCCTGCTCACTCTCTCAAAAATAAATACATTTAAAAATTAAAAAAAAAAAAAAGACTAGTGCTCTAACCCCTGAGCTGTGCAGCCAACCACAATATATTCTCTTTTTTAATAAAAAGTAAAGCGGTAGCATTTCGAGAAACATCTCTCCTGTCTCCAAGCTGTTGGTGGAGATAAATTCCTTTTAAAGTCCAATTCTGATGCAGGACAGATGAGTGCATTTTAACTAGTAGCCTGAAATGTTACCGGCCTGTTTAGATGTAGAATCTGTTTTTCAAAGATATGGTTTCCTTTTCGTTGTTTTTGACTCTAACATAGTATGAAATTTTTAAAAAATGTTGATTTATGTTTGAGAGAGAGAAAGAAAAAAAAAACACGTGAGTAGGGGAGGGGCAGAGAGAGAGGGAGACATAGAATTCAAAGCAGGCTCCAGGCTCTGAGCTGTCAGCACAGAGCCCAATGTGGGTCTTGAACTTGCAAACTTGAGCTCTTGATCTGAGCTGACGGTGGTCACTTAACTGACTGAGCCACCCAGGCGCTCCAACCCTAACATAGTATTTTTTTTTTCCTAACATAGTATTTTTAATAAAAAACAAAATATTCTTTGCTAGTTAACTAGGCTGCAATACTGAAGCAATGTTGGTTAACCATTTGCTTAATGTTAGTTAATGTGAACTCATGTATTGTGGAAATGGATGTCTGCTAGTTTTCTGTTTTTTGTTGTTTTCTAGAGGAGAGAGAGAGAGAGAGAGAGCGTGTAAGGCGGGGAGAAGGGCAGAAAGAGAAAGAGAGAATCTTAAGCAGTCTCCATGCTCAGCATGGGGCCCAATGCAGGACTTGATCCCACAACCCTGGGACCATGACGTGAGCCAAAATCAGGAGTTGGATGCCCAACCGACTGAGCCACTCAGGTGCCCCATTTTTTAAAAATGACTTTAAAGATGCCCTTTTCATGCCTCTTTGGACCATTCTAGATTCTAGTAAATAGAGGTGGGTGCACAGGTGGCCTCCCTGATGCCCTTCATTTATTTTTGTGACCCTAACGATACACATTTTATTCTTTAAAATTATTATTCTCGGTGTGGTACTTTATTTCCCTCTACTTTTATTTCTCCCACCCACCGAATGGCTAGATATTTATGTCTCTTTTCTTCAGGTTCATCAGTTTTATGAGACAAGGCGATATGCACAGTAAATGAATATTGACAGAAAGAGCTGATTTTCCTTTATGCAATGATGTTTTTCTGAAAATGCTCCTCTATTATTTAGAAGAGTATTAAGGAGTCATTATGTAAACAATTTTAGTGTGTAGATAGGACTCTGAGGGTTTACTGTTTATTCAAAATCAATTTCCATGTTTATCAAACTTTACAGCAGATCATTTTGTAAACATTTTCTATATATGGCTTGCCTCTACCAGCATGTTAGCCAACCATTTGTTTTTCTTAAGTCTTTCTAGAGGTCCACATAGAAAAGGCTGATATTCCAGTTTCCTTCTTTTCCTAGCCCTGTTTTTTTTTTAATCCCTTCTCTTTTTTAGACACCTGAATTTACCCTTACAACTTAATTTGTTTAATTAAAAAATTTTTTAGTGTTAAGCTTTTATTTCATTTAAATGTTTTATTTATTTCTGAGAGAGAGCGAGAGAGAGAGAGAGAGCACGTGAGCAGGGGAGGGTCAGAGAGAGAGGGAGTCACAGACTCTGAAACAGGCTCCAGGCTCTGAGCTGTCAGCACAGAGCCCAACGTGGGGCTCGAACCCACGAACCGTGAGATCATGACCTGAGCCAAAGTCAGACACTTAACCGACTGGGCCACCCAGGCGCCCCAGTGTTAAGCTTTTACAATTTACAATTTTTATGAAGAGATGGTGGGGGACTCACAGGTAAACAAGGCATGTTGTGATTTAATCCTAACTCCGTGAAGTCAGTAAGCAGGTGAAAAGCAAATGCGTGTGTCCCTCAGTGGCTGCTAACCTACCGGTCTTCACTTTCTGTAATTGTTTCAGGATTTGCTCAGCGCTGTAGAGACTAAGGAAGCTCTTGAAAGGGAGGTCAGGCTCTTCCAAGAAAGGCTGCTTGCTGGCCAGCGGGTCTGGGATGCCTCGAAGCAGGAGCTGAGCCTCTTGAAGAAAAGCTCTTGCGAGTTGGAGAAGAGCTTGGAGGCCAGCCTGGATGCAGCGGCAGCCTCGCGAAACCAGCACTCCTCGTTTAGGGAGAAAGTCGCAGCCCTGCTTGGGGGCGTCGGGGGCACAATTGGGCCAACGGAGGATGCCATTTTGGAAAGGATCCGAGAAATGACCAGCCAGGGAGAGAGCCAGAAAAGGGTGAGTGGGAGATGGCGACTTCTGAGATTCTTAAGGACAGTAGTTCGCTGAGTTAGTCATTTAAATGTGGTTTTTATGACTTTCAGCTGTATATTGTACTTAGGGAGCCTGGGAAGTCACTCACGTGACAGCTAACGACCTTGTAGGTTCTGGGATCAGAGTTGCCCGTGCTGAATCCTGTCTGGACTGCACACTCGCTCACTCCAGGCTCCTAGGAACCCGCCTTTGAGATTCTGTTTTCTCATCTGCTGGACATGGAGGGCCCAGGGGCCGCACCCCTTATATGAACCCCTTGGGTTCAATGTGTTTTTGAATTGAGACTTGTTCAGCGTGTACGAAGGTAAGAATGCATTAAACAGTAATGGAGGGAGCTCTCTTTTACACGTCCCTCCTCAGTGGGGTCTGAGGCAGCACCCCACAGTCAACTCCGTTCATCATTCTGCAGCATGAGCTGTGACAAGCCCATCACACAGAATGCACCAGGGCTGCAAAAGAGCTCTGTGTCGCTTAGGGTCAAGGTCGGCTGCCAGAGCTGGTCAGGTCAAGCATTATCAGCAAGTGAGTTACGAAAAAAGCTGTCTGCTACCAGATGCTTGTGGATTTTGGAATTGCAGATAAGGGTGGTTAGACCTGTAAGAGTATCTGCCCCATAAGGTTATTGTTTGTTGAAAGCAGGAAATGGAAAAGAAAATTGTTATGAAGTCCTTCGTGCAGTGCTGGGCACGTAATGATGATAAATATTAACTGTTGCTGCCCTGGCTTCTCCTCTCTCTCCTTGTTCTCTTCATAATGCGTTGGTGCCGGGGACAGTCTTTGAGGGGACCTGTTGAACAAGTTGAGATAGGGAGTTTGATTCATATATATGATTGAAGCTTCTTTAATTTTGCTATCTTGTTTATACTACTAATAATTCTCCTTGGGGCACCTGGGTGGCTCAGTTGGTTAGGCAACCAACTTTTGATTTTGGTTCAGGTCATAATCTCGTGGTTCTTGAGATCAAGCCCTGCATCCCGCTCTGTGCAGAGTGCAGCCCACTTGGGATTTTCTCTCTCTCTCTCTCTCTCTCTCTCCCTCTCTCTCTTTCTCTCTCTCTCCCTTCCCAGCCCCTGCTCCTGCTCTCTTTCTCTCCCAAAATAAGTAAACTTAAAACAAAAAATCTCCTTTACTGTCTAGCTTTGCTGAGCAGAGTCAACTTCAGCCTGACTAAATTACCATCCAATGCAAATTATTGAAGGCCTAATTAACGAGGTTTTTTTTTTTAATTTTTTTTTTTTTTTATTTCTAGGAGAGAGAGAGAGAGAGAGACAGCGTGAGCAGGGGAGGGTCAGAGAGAGAGGGAGTCACAGACTCTGAAAGAGGCTCCAGGCTCTGNTTCTAGGAGAGAGAGAGAGAGAGAGACAGCGTGAGCAGGGGAGGGTCAGAGAGAGAGGGAGTCACAGACTCTGAAAGAGGCTCCAGGCTCTGAGCTGGCAGTCAGCACAGAGCCCGACGCGGGGCTCGAACCCACGAACCACGAGATTATGACCTGAGTGAAAGTCGGACGCTTAACCGACTAAGCCACCCGGGCGCCCCTAATTAATGAGGTTTTAAAGTAAATAATATCCAAATTCTAAGTATAATTCCATTATGATCTACTTCTTCCGGGAGTTTGTGTTGGTTCAAAGGAGAAAATGCATTTTTCCCTTTTTGGATGTTTCTAAAATACTCAGAACCATCACTAACTCAGAATTCAGGGTTGCATTTGAAAATTTCCTTTAATGATAAAACATTTTCCACCCCTTTAAAAGTTCTCCAAAATTCGTGTGGGCTCTTAGGATCAAGTCAGGTGACCGCTTTGTCCAAGTGTAGGATTCTTTTTGTGGGTATAAAATGTACAGGTCTCTGAGGGTAGCTCACTTTTTCTTGTGATTGGTCCCGGATTGCAATAGAAAATTATTTCCAGGACCCAGAACAATTTCATTAAGTTATTTACCTTGACTAGTAAGAGATGCACTTCAGTAGCTAATGGTCCTTAACCATTTCATTTTATTGCTTCCCTCTTCTGGTTTTCCAAATGTTTTCCTAACACTATTTTAATTCAGCATGCGAAGCATGGCATAAAATTGTCAGCATGATGTATATGTTTATTTTCTGAAGCAAAATGATGTAAATTGGTTAAGCTGGCTGTGCCTTCCCCTACTCCCCATAAAAATCAGAATGATTCAGAGTCTTTTTAGTGCCTTTGTCTGTCTTTTCTACCCTGTAATTTTTTTCAATAGCTGTTCTCACTATTTAAAAGCCCGAAATCAAGCGTATAGCTTGACTCATCTTCAAGTAAAATCAGGAGAAAATAGATTTTGTATATTGTCTTAGAAATGTTTCTAAAGAATGGGAGCTTCACAGATGGATGAGTCTGTTTGTTGAGAGGGCTGTGCACCCCTGCCAGCTGCTGTGGTTAAACACACACTCAACAGTTGAGTAATACCCATGTGAAGGCCCAATGGTGGGTTCGGGCTGGGCCTGGCAAATTCACGCTTCATGCCGACTCCTACTTTGCGAACCTTGCCTTTCTCATTTACCCTGTTGCTATTCATTTTTACTCTCCTATATTTGTAGTTCTCAGTAGAATTCAGGACGCTACCCACACATTTTCAGTAAGTCACTACTATTTGGGTCCTTGCCTTTCTGTTTATAGCCAAGTCACATTCTCTTTTTAAAAGCTTTACCGAATCTTGGGGGAGGGTTTCTCAGTCTTGGGCACTATTGACTGTTTCAGGCTGGGTAGTCTTTCGCCGAGGGGCTGCTCTGTGTGTACAGTGTAGGGTATTTAACAGCATCTCTGGCTTCTACCCAGTAAGCACCGGTAGCACCATTTCCCGCCTCAATTTGTGATGACCAGTGAGGTCTCCAGACAAATATCCCCGGAGGGTGAAATCACCCCTGGTTGGAAGCCACTCCCTGAGAGGAAAGTCCTGCTGTTGGGTTCCTAGGAACACCAAATGAGTGTTTGCATGATGTTTAGCCTTGAAATCTCAGTACATTTGTAACAGGTGTTTTTGAAATAATGATGAAAGATTTTTTTCCTTACTTTTTAGTTGTTTGCTAACTGGCTCATCAGCTGGGTGAGAAGTGATTATGTACAGAGAGGACATGACTGTGATTGGATTCTATGTCATTTCTTGAATTAAAGACAATTCATACAAACGTTTATCTAGACAGATCTTTTGTTCTTCTTCAGGCACATATAAGGGTTTATTTCCTCCACCGGAGTGTTTCTTGGTCCAGTGGCTCTGGGAGAGCTGTGGGGACCCAGCCTGATGCCCTAAAGGACCTGAGATTCCCCCGACAGCTCCCTGCTCCCTTATCTGATCCAGTCATTCTGCTTTGTTCCTAATTCTCCAATACACGAAACCAAACATTTACCCAGAAGCTTTGGCAGACTTCCACTGACATTTCATTGCCCCAAATTATGTTATGTGGTCACCCCTAACTACAGGGGCATCTAGGAGAATAAAAAGATAGAGATTTTGGCTCTCCTGACATCTGTAGTGTAGTAATTTCCTAGGATGGCCATAACAAAGTACCTGTAACTTGGTGGCTCAAACAGAAGTGTATTACCTCCCAGTTCCGGAGGCTGGAAATCCAACATCATGATGTCAACCGGGTTGGTTTCTTCGGAGGCTGTGAGGGAGAATCTGTTCCGGGCCTGTTGTCTGGCTTGTGGTAGGTGGTCTCAGGCGGTCCTTGGCTTATGAATGGCATTCTCTCTACATCTTCCTATTATTTTCCTTCTACTTGCATATGTCTCTGTGTCCACATTTTTTCCCTTTTTTTATAAGCACAGTAGTCACATTGCATTAGGGCACACAGCTCTGTAAAGACTGTATTTCCAAATAAGGTCGCATTCGGAGACACTGGGGGACTTGAATGTACCTCTTTTTTGGAGGACCCAATTTAACCTGTAACAAAAGTCGATATGGGGCGCCTGGTGGCTCAGTCAGTTGGAAGATTCCAACTCTTGATTTCGGCTCAGGTCATGATCCCAGGGTTGTGGGATTGACCCTTGTGTTGGGCTCTGCGCTGAGTGTGGAGCCTGCTTGGGGTTCTCTCTCTCTCTCTCTCTCTCTCTCTCTTTCTCTCTCTCTCTCCTTCCCTCCCTCTCCACCCCCTCAAAAAAAAAAAAAGTTGACATGCACAAAATGGAGACAGTAGGAATAGCCAGTCAGTTGAGTTGGCCATACAAACTGATAATAAGAAAAAGGAATTTGATTGATGTTTTATTCCTGATTCCTGACAACTTATTTTATATATTTCCTAAGTGAAAATGATAGCTTGACTAATGAGAAAAGAGTTGTATGTCCAAAAGGCACGGGTCCTTAAGTGACCCAAGTGGTTCTTTCTTTAGTTTAAAACTCTTGTGCTTTCTTCGGTTTAATTTTAGGGCAAAAGTGTCTCTCTGTGAAATCAACAATTACTTGTCCTTGGGAAGTGACTGAAATTTTTTAGGGCATTATGACTTCACCTCCCCAAACCAAGCTGCTTGTTTTTGAAGTATGATTCACTTCAGTGCTTTTATTTTTATTTTAAAAAATGAGGTGTCTTTTCTTTATTATAATCCTTCTTCCTTCCCCTCAGTTCCCTACACCTCTCGTGTTGAAATCCCTGGCACATTTTGTCCCACAGAATATCAGGGATGTGTTAACAGATGATACTAAGAAAAAGAGGGAAAATAAAAAAGAGAAGCTTGTTGACTCTGTAGAGTTCTTGGTGTGAAAAACACAACACAGCCTCACAGTTTTGGCGAGACCCGTATGTTCACCCAGGCATTTGATGTTCCCGGGAACCAAGTCAGATTAGAATGTTAATTTATTGGACTACGTTTATGTAAATGGAGCTCTGAAAATTATGGGTGGGATCATATGTGCTGAGACATAAAATAAGCTTCAGAAGCTAAATTCTGTGACGCGTAGAATATGGAGGGGTTCCCAGCTGCTCGCTCCTCCCTGGACACTGGAATCTTGAGCTTGTAGCTTCTACACGGTTTGATTGTCTACCCACCGGTGGTTTTAAAAGCTATATTCTACTGAGTCTTCAAGTTCCATGGAGCACTCCTGCGTCCTTTTCACGTTTGATTTAGCACATTGTGCCTTATTTGTCCTTCCCAGAAAGGTTTTTTGGTTGAAAAACAGGCTCTCTGGGCTGCAAATGGTTTGAGAAACACGATGTAGGACAATTCCTGAAGGGCCCCTTTAACTCTTTATGACAGAAGCAGAAGATTGACTGGACCAACATACTGGAGTAGGGATACTGGTGGTAAAAATGGATGCAATGCATTGAACTTGAGTCAAGGTGTGAAATACTGCGCTACTCAAATTATCTAAATTATCATCTCATCATCAGAGCAAAGACCTGAAGTTTCAGAGAGGCTGATTGCCTACTTCAGTTAACATGTTGCTAAGTAGTAGAGTGGGAACCAAAGACCCCGTGCCGCAGTCGGGTCTCCATCAGGATGTCCTCTTCTTCCTTCAGGGTCATTATCACTACTGTACTCAAACTTTCAGCCGTTGCCTGACGTGTCATCTTCCAAATGGGAGTCTGTTTTTTATTTTTTAATGTAACTGGGCGATTGCACATTTGCGCATTTCAGATTTTATTTTTTTAAGTAATATCTACACCCGGGGCTCCTGGGTGGCTCAGTCGGTTAAGAGTCCGACTTTGGCTCAGGTCACGATCTTGCGGTTCATGAGTTCAAGTCCTGCATCAGGCTCTGTGCTAACAGCTCAGAGCATGGAGCCTGTTTCGATTGTGTGTCTCCCTCTCTCTCTGCCCCTCCCTCTCTTATACTCTGTGTCTCTCTTTCTCTCTCAAAAATAAACGTTAAAAAAAAAAAGTAATCTCTACACCCAGTGTGGGGCTGGAACTCACAACCCTGAGATGAGAGTCGCATGCTCCACTCACTGAGCCAGCCGGCCAGGTGGCCCCAAAATGGAAGTCTTTCCTGGTTGATTTCTATGGAAGGCTTTGCCTTCTTCTGGGACCTTCATCAGTATGCTGACTGTGGCTAAGTGCTGACCCAGTTCTCCATCTCTCCAGCTGAGGTTTTCTGTGTCTCTTTTTTCTTTGGTTTCATTCTCTTTGTTAGGTTAACTGTGGGGTAGGAGAAGTGTTGAAGGACTTTCAGGTAGAAAGACTCACTTCCTAACTTGGAGTCGAATGTGAAACATATTTTCTGCTGCACAGAATCTTGTGTTCTGCCTTGTATAATAGCATATCATTGAACAGCCCTCCTCCCCACAAGGCAGTATCTTGGGGGTATTGTTTGATGGTTGTTGTTTTGTAGGTGACTTTGTATGTTGTACCAAGACAAGCGTACCTTTCTCTTGCATTAAGCTCACATCTCTTGGGGCGCCTGGGTGGCTCAGTTGGTGAAGCTTCCGACTTCAGCTCAGGTCATGATCTCATGGTTTGTGAGTTTGGGCCCCTCATCAGGCTCTGTGCTGATAGCCTGCCTCAGATTCTGTGTCTCCCTCTCTTTCTGCCCCTCCCTTGCTCATGCTCTGTTTCCCTCTCTCTCTCAAAAACAAATAAACATTAAAAAAAAAAAAAAGATCACATCTCTTATTAGTAAATGCCAGTGGTAGGAAATACAAAATGGGGTGTTCTCAGAGGCTCATATTCTGTAGTTAAAATTGGAATTTCCTAGGGGAACATAATTCCTTGGATGTGGTGCTAAGCAGCTTGCCATCAACTTGATGGCACCCACAGAAGTCTAGAATTAATTGAATTGCAGGCCTGGGACCTGAAGAGCCACAGAAGCATTTGATTTGAGCATTTAGGGATCGAGTAGTCTAACAATCCTGACCGTAGCCTTCCAGTCCACTCCGTAACCTTCTTCACAGATGGTTGGCCCATTTGGGGCCATCTCCAGTGATGGGGCATTCACTGCACACCATGGTAAGATGCTTAAAATATGAGGTAAACACAAAGACATAAAATTGCACATGTAATATCTCACTCTTAACAGGGCATAAAAATAAATTACTTGAAACTATTAATAGTTGTTACCTCTGAGTGGGTTTTTTCCCTTACTTAAACTTTCTTTTTTGTTCTTAGTGAATCTTTTATCATGATTATATATGACTTTGTAATTTTGGGGACCAGGAAAAATGCTTCCTTACACAGCAGTGGAATTATTTCTCTGATTTGTACCTGTTGGGTTTTTTTTGTTTTTGTTTTATTTCTAGGAGAGAGAGACAGCGTGAGCAGGGGAGGGTCAGAGACAGAGGGAGTCACAGACTGAAACAGGCTCCAGGCTCTGAGCTGGCAGTCAGCACAGAGCCCGACGTGGGGCTCGAACCCACGAACCGCGAGATCATGACCTGAGCGAAAGTCAGACGCTTAACCGACTAAGCCACCCAGGCGCCCCTGTAGCTGTTGGTTCTTAACTTAAGCTCTGAGTGCGACTCAGAACAAACCCTATTGTTCTTCCATATGATAGTCTTACAAAATATTTGAAGGTGGCTGGAGTGTCTTCTTGCTTTTTAAAATGGTTGTTGATAGGTAAGCAGATTTTTTTTTTAACTGAAACTGTAAACCTGAAACCATCAAGGTATTTCAAGTTTTGCAAGAATGGTGCTGAGTAGTATGTAAATATCTCCTTCTTTCTTTTCCTCTTCTGAAACCAACCATCAAAACAAAACAAATTTTTCACCTCAAACTTGAATTCAGTGTTTTCCGAAAACTGGATGTGGTAGAATCAGTTTGAGTCTTCTCGGCGTGTACCTGAGGTCTTGGGCCAACTTAGGTTCTTGTTGATGGGGACGTCAGGACAAAAGAGAGAGACTTCAGGGAAGGATGGAAACACTGGGAAATGAGGGGTGTGTGGAGAGAGTTGGGGCCGTTAATGGAGAAACTGTAGTTTCATTTTGTAGCAGAGGAGGTAACAATCAGATTCTCCTGCCTTCTTGCATGTAGAGTCGCTGTATTAAATTTGACCTTCATGCTAAAGTGATAACATCACTATGTGAGTGCAGAGCACAGAGACAGCACCACTGAACTTTGGTGCTTGAGGAACCGATCCTCAGTGGAAAAATGAAAAAAACTTGAAAAAATATCTTTATGCTCTCAAATTCCTGATAAATTTACTATAAAATCAACTCACTGGATAATCTTTAATCCACCGTATATGGTGGAGGAGTTTGTCCGGAGAACGACACTTGCAGAGGTTTTAAAAGCACTTTCTGTCTGAACTTTTTTTTCCCCAGCTAAGCTTTGAAGCTCTTAAATCAATGGCAGTTTTAGGGGTAAGTAAATATCACCCATAAATAGTTATCGAGACTAACCTGTTTAAGGGATTATATACATGTTAAAAAATACCAATAAAAATATTTTATTAGGTAATGAATACACATTTATTTCAAGCAGAGGCAGATAGAGCTATCAAATTACCTGTTTTTTTAATTTAATTTTTACAAAGAATCTGGAAGTTGGTGTTATAAATAGTTCTGTTGCTTGGGCTGAGCACTGGATTTTAACACTTTGCTGCATCCGAAACAAGGCTTATCCTTGTCTGTTTCTTTGTTTCCAGATGGTCTCCCAGCTTGAGGCCCGAATATCTGAGCTTGTGGAGCAGCTGGGAAAGGAGTCTGGGTCTCACCAGAAAGCTCTTCAGAGAGCCCAGAAAGCAGAAAGCAAGTTGGAGACTCTTCAGGGTCAGCTGACACGCCTGGAGGCAGAGCTGGCTTCTGGAGATGTTTTTCGAGATAACTTGAATTTTGAGAAACAAAAAGTAATAACCCGAGGGTATATCCATGGGGAGAAACATCTGTTGCAGTTTAAAAATTTTTACCTGAAAATATTCTGCATTTTACAGTACTTCAGTAGAATGAATAAGGCTGACTAATGAGTAAATGTCAAGGAACTCTTTTGGGGGTGTCTTCCTATTATTTAAGGCTTTTTTTGACTCAGATTAATCCAGTTAAACTCAACAGGTATAACGCCTGTTATGTATGAGACCCTGAAGGTTTGAAGGCTAAGGTATGAATAACACACAGTTCTTGATCATAAAAGGATCCTAATTCACTCGAGGAGACAGACATTCTTGTCATTTGCTGTGACTATAAAGCTGTACATGTCGTAGGAGGTGTATTGATTGACAAAATGCTGTAGGAGCTCAGCGAAGGGAATGATAACTTCTGGGTAAGGGGAGGATTTTTACAGGGGAGAAGATAATGGAGTTCACCCTTCAAGGATAAGTAGGGTTTTAGAGGAGTAGAAGGTGCAGATACTGTAGGGGAAAACAGTGCGAACAAAGGCATGAAAGCTCATAAGTGCATAGTATCGTCATAGTGTGGAGTGATTGTTCCCATGTGGCTGGAACACGACGTTCTGGATGGCGTTGTGGCGGGAGAGAAGACGAGCATGGTTTGGATTATGGGGATTCTTTATTCTCACTTCTGTAGAATATGAAGTGTAGCAGGTGAGTTTGAGCATTGCAGTGTTTTAGAAGGATGACGTGATGTCACTATGAAGCTGAAGCTACAGCAGGGACAGACTCAGAAATGCTAATGGGGATAACCCAGTGCCAGGGACGGAGAGTACAGTGAGAAGGGGCCCCCCACTTATGACTTGACCGTGGGGAGATCATCTGTGACCGTCCAGAGGCAGTTAGAGGAGAGAGGCGGAGAGCAGAAGCCAGTTTGCTCTGTCTGGGCTGAGGGGTGAGTGGGAAGCAAAGGTCTGAGTGTAGAAGTAGATTCTTAGGAAGTCTGGTGACGAGAGAGAAAAGGCATGAAGCAGGAAGACCGAAGGAAGGTTTTATTGGATGGAAGGAGAAGGTACATGTTTGTGGGTCACAGGAGGAAAAAGAGAGAGAGAGAAAAAGAGACAAATGGGATTGGAATTTGGCATGAAAAATGCCCTTAGGTTAAAAATAATCTACATTCTGGAAACTCATTCATCCTCATTTTTCTGTACTTCAAAAAGCTGAGGCAGCACCATGCCTACGCGGAGGGTTGGCTGGGCACGGCTGTGTAAGAGGCCCTAGTCTAAGTGGATGAGACGGGTAAACCAGAACACAGTAGTAATTAATGGAGGTAAATATAAAGTCAACAGGAACTTGGATAAAGTTTCCTGTTTCTGTGAGTGAGGAAATGAGCCCTCTTCGCACCGGAGGTAGCATTCATGAGAGGCTTTAAAGAATGAGTAGGAATCTTCCAGGCAGATTCCCTGGGAAGGGATTCACAGTACAGAGAGTAGCAGGAGGGAGCTGCTGTGACCTGCTCAGGAGACCAGTGAGGCACAGGGAGACTGAACATGGCGCATGGTCAGGCCAGAGGCATGAGGTGGCTCTGGAGACAGGTAGGAATAATTGAGATAGGGAAGAGTAATTGCCCAGGGCTTTATCGTATAGGTAACGGGAAGCCATAGAAGGTCTGTGAGTCAAAGAAAGATTTCTCTGAAGGCTGGCCTCGAAATGAAAGCTACGGAGCCCAGCTAGGGGTTTGTTAGAATGGCAGAACAGAAGCTAATAAAGATTTGGACCAAGTAGTGGTTTTATGAACGAAAGGGTAGATTTGACAAATTGGGGAGGGTGAAGAGTATATGAAAAAGATGTGCAGATTGAAACTTTGAGTTTGAAAGGAAATGTTGCACCTGAGTGTAATATGTTACATTGGAAGAAATCTGACTGCTGAGCCATCTCCTAGAGTCCCACGAACACAATGCACTAATCATTTTCTGAATGGAAATGATCACCTCTCCACGAATTTGCCCCCTCCTGCCTCAGGAATGATGAGGTAATCTGCCTCCCTGCATCCGTGCCCAAAGCCCCGGGGTCATCCTTAATGCTTCTTTTTAACCAATTCCTGAACACTGTAAATTCCATCTCCTTAACATATCTCATAAATCACCCCCAGTCTCTACACGTAGTGGCAGCGCTGTGACTCCAAACATAATAATCACCTGTGTGGACTGTCCAAACAACCTTCCAATAGCTCCCTACTGCTGCCAGGGAGGTCTTCATAAATTGTGTGTCCAATCTTATCTTTCTCCATAATATTGGCCAGGGGCTCTCGATGGCCCTCAGGCTCAGCTGCAGATTTCTTCTTTCCGTGGCTAAGCCTTCTGTGACCTGGCCAGGTCTCCTCTCTCCAGGCCTGCCATCACCCATAATCTCTCCAGCCCATGGTGGCAAGCTCAAGGCTTCAGGGGACCAGCAGGGGCCTGCATGGGTGTGTGGTGATTGATCTCTGAGTCTAAAGACGTCCACAGTCACATGTATAAAAAACAATTGGATGGCCAAAAAAAAAAAAAAGTGGGGGATCCCCTTTGGCATCCTATATTGCAGGTTATGATTCTCTTTGAGAAAATGTCCTCTTTACCTTTTCACCTGGCAATAGCTGTCCCTTGAAGACTTGGCTCCAATGTCACTTCCCCTGGAAGCCTTCCCTTAGAGACTTAGGTCTCCTTCATGCAACATGTGCATCTGTCCCAGCATTTATCACCCTTATTGTCTTCAGTTTTAAAATCCGTCTCGTCCAGTCAACTCCAGGCTTCTTGAGGTCAGAGGAAATCTTTGTTTTTTTCTTTTTTCTTGGTTTCTCCAGCATTTAGGGAAGAGTCCATGAGTAGTATCTAAATTGTGAAGAAAAATATAAAAGGCAAGAAATGTAGGTGGACTGGTGTCTCTTCCTTTTTTTTTTTTTATTTTAATGACTCATTCATTTTCGTTGAGATTGTGCCAAAAGAACTTGCAGTTATGAAAGCAAATTATGTAAATGGATTCCATCCTGGTGAATATTCTGTAGATAACCGCCTATGAAGTACATGTCCTGGTAAGGACAATAGGCATGTAAAGGTGAAAAGCAAAGTTATACGGAGTTTAAGTTTAAATATAGGTAATTGAGGTGCACACAGAATAGAATATATTTATGCCAAACTGTGATTCAAATAAATAAGGTGTACAGTAAATTCTTCCAATGACCCTCCCTTCCTGAGGCAGAGCCAAGAGCTCTGAAACGGGCACTTGCTCCGTGGGGTGGGGCGTGGTCCTGCCCTGGTCCCGTTTTGCCTATTGTAGATCCTTGCATGCTAAGTGGATGCATCACATGTAGACATAGCAAAAGAGGCCTTTTGCTTCCACATTAAAGGTCCCGATTCTATTTTATTTACAAAACAAACAACAGCAATTATTTTTACTCTCATTCACCCCTTCAAAATGAATAATCCAAAGGGGAGCGCTGACATAGCGTTAAGAAGTGAGAAACAGAAGGTGTGGAAACAAAAGCAGCGTATGGTCATGGCCTTGTAGCACCACACGGCCACCTACCATTGTGTAGCACAGCAGATCAGCAATACCTCCCATGACGGTGCCTTACAAAGGAGAGATTCCATTGTAGGTATGCCATTCAACAAAATTTGAAAGTACTCACTCACAAATAATTTCGTCTTGATGACTGAAAGTATAGATAGTTCTGGGCTCTACACTGGCACGCTTCGGTCATCCAGAAATTATACATATTTAAACATAGAGTTGTCTCAGAATGCCAGATAGATGAAGACTTACTGCAGGGAGAAGAAAGTTTCAAACAGAGAACCCAAATCATGAAGTGATGGTACCGAAAGTTCATTGATTGGTTCACTCATCCAACAGGCATGTAGTAAGCATTCCTCTGTCTGGCATGGCCAGATAACCCACAGAATTTAAGTGAAGGATATAAAAAATACTGATTTCAAGGGCTACATGCCACCCTGATGTTTTTAGTGGCATTATCAGCAGTAGCCAAATTATGGAAAGAGCCCAAATGTCCATTGACTGGTGAATGGATAAATAAGTTGTGGTGTGTGTGTGTATAAAAAAAAATAAAAATAAATAATGAAATATTATTGCTCAACCATAAAAAAGAATGGAATCTTGCCATTTGTAATGACACAGATGGAGCTAGAGAGTATTACCCAAGCGAAATAAGTAAGAGTAAATAGAGTAAGTAAGAGAAAGACAAATACTATATGATTTCATTCATGTGGAATTTAAGAAACAAAACGTACAGGAAAGAAAAGAAGGAAAACCAAGAAACAGACTCTTAGAGAAGAAACTGATGGTTACCAGTGGGGAGGTCTGTGTGGGGATGAGTTAGAGACGTGATGGGGATTAAGGCATGCACTTGTATTGAGCACCGGGCATTACATGTAAGTGTTGAGGCACTGAATTGTACATATGAAACTAATATAATAGTGTATGTTAACTAACTGGAATTTAAATAATTTAAATAGAAGAAAGAAAAAAAGAAATCAAGTAGAGGAAGATCCTAGAACAATTTTGTAACATTAGCTTGTTAAAATAGGAACCTTGACCTCATTGATACAGCTGTAGTTTACAATGTTGTTCCTTAAACTATGTTACATTAAAAACTCTTTAAGACATTTTTTTGGGTCTAGGATTTTAACTTAAAAAGAAAACAACCAAAAACATTGTCCAAGTGTGTTTGTATGGAGAGCTTTGGTTTTGGAGTGATCGGTAGAATCCGAGGAGAGTAAGTAAAGTTGTCATTTGTTTTCCACATTTGAGGCCAGGACCCACAGGATGGAAAAATTGCTGTGTAAGGTTTGTGGATGAGCAGATCCCAGGAGCTGGATTAGCCAGGAAGGGGCAGCAGCCTGTCGCCAAAGCAGAGAGATGCATGTGTTGTCAGGAGGATGTCAGATTAGTCACATGGCAGGGTTAAGAAGAGTGTCTAATGTTACACTGAACATCAAGATCACTGACCAGGAGAGTCAAGTGAATTTGGACAAGCATCAGGACAGGGAACTGGGGTCAGGGGCCGGGCTGCATACTGGGTTTAATGGGACCGATCTGTAAGCTTGGGAGGAAGAGAAGGATTCTGTGAGATCACCTATTAACATCGTTTTTTGTGCCTCATTTTCATTTTTGTTCTTGGGTTTAGTATCTTAAATTTCTGGATCAGCTCTCAGAGAAAATGAAATTGGACCAGATGGCTGCTGAACTTGGCTTTGACATGCGCCTGGATGTAGTTTTAGCTCGCACAGAGCAGCTGGTCCGCCTCGAGAGCAATGCAGTCATTGAAAACAAGACTATCGCCTACAATTTACAGAGAAAGGTAGGGGATTGAAACTTACTAGTGTTGGGGCTCCTGGGTGGCTCAGTTGGTTAAGGGGCTGACTTCAGCTCAGGTCATGATCTCACAGTTCATGGGTTCGAGCCCCGCATCAGGCTCTGTGCAGATAGCTCAGAGCCTGGAGCCTGCTTTGGATTCTGTGTCTCTCTCTCTCTGACCCTCCTCTGCTCACACTCTGTGTATCTCTCTCTCTCAAAAATAGATAAACATTAAAAAAAAAAAGAAAGAAAGAAACTTATTAGTGTTGAGAGAAGGAATAGCTGAGAAACTTAAATATAGGAAAATAGTTTACTTCTCCTTGTATTTACCTCTGTGGTTAGGAAATATATACATATGTATTTGGAATTCGAGTGTCTGTTTTAAGCCTGAGGGATGGTAAATATATCACCTAAGGTTATATTTGACTGTGAGTCACAGAGACCCAAAATAATGGCAGCTTATATGACTGAAAGTGGTTCCTTCCCACCCCCATAAATTTCTGGAAGTAGACAGCTCAGGGTGAGTGTGGTGAGTCTGTTCTGTCAAGTTTTCAAGGAGCCAGGTTCATTTCAGCTCATTAATCTCCCATCCCTAGGGTGGTTCACACCTTCATGGCTCAAAATGGTACCTATGTGTTCCAGACAGAAGTTTGGAGAAGAAAGGGATGAAGAAGAGGGATGCAGAAGAGCATGTGTGAGGTGTCTTTTGATGGAGGCTTCCGGAATTTGCCACATGAACTTGTGTTTATATCCCATGATTCTGATGACCGAAATAAGCTTCAAGGGAAGCTGGAAAACTGTATTCTTTACTCTGGGTAGCCACTTGCCTACCTAAGAAGCTCACTGTTCTGTTATTAAGGGAGATGAGGAGGACTTGGGAATATCTAGCAGTCTCCGATTTGACAAACTCTTCTGCACTGGGGAGAAAATCGAGGAGAAGCGTTTACTTTTCACTCACTCAAAAGAAGAGTTAGAAACAGTTTAGACTAAATAAATGAATGAGTAGATGAAAAGGATAAAAATATAATTAGTAGTTATGTAATTATTGGCATTGGTGAAAGACAGAGCAAAACACAGATGTGTTCTTATAATAGTTCTTAGGAGAAAATTCTGTGGTAGAATTATAGTGTACAGGCTGTGTAATGGGTCACATCTGGGATTCCAGTTTGGTTCCACCAAGCTGTGTGACCTTGGACAAATTACATACCTCTCTGTCTCTATTTCTTCATATTTGAGATGGGAATGATATCTACATAATGAGGTTGTTTATTTTTAATAAGGCCCATTTTTAAAGTCTTGGCTCATAGACTGTGCTCTGTGCACACTTGACCTCTTCTCCATTTACTAGATTTTTAGGACTACTTTATAAAAGACAACAGCTAACCCCTGTTACCATCAGAGACATTAAACTGAGCTACAGTTCTTTCTGAAGTTCTCCTTAGATAATTGATTTTCCCCTCAATCTCCAACATCATTCCTTCTGAAGTACTGTGTGATTATTAAAATTACCAGTTGTACAGGACTCACCAGGGCAATTATGCAGTAGAGAGGAATTTGACATGAAGAAGCTCAAGGAAGGGAGTTTGGTTAGAGAGACATGGAAAGGGCTTTGTTAAAAATGGATCTGGCTACGGACATTGCTGCCACGGTGAGACAAGATACACAGGCCTGCAGTTCAGTCTGTCCTTCACACTTCTGAGAAGTACAGAGTATATAATTAGAGAAAATGTGACGGTCTTCAGCTCTAACATTCTAGAATTCTGCATGATTCTAGTCCCCAACATTTGCAACAGATGTAAGAGGTTTCTGTACTTAATATTCTACTCACTAATTGTGACATCACAATCCAGGAGGATTTACTTTCCCTTTTAGAGTCCATAACCTTTTTCTAAAATCCATTATAAATTCCTTCATCAAGTTTGATTGTCAGTGAAAAGTGCTGTCTGAAAAACTTGTTCTCTGCAGGGTTTGTGGCTGGTATAGACCAGGCAGATAATAAAGACACCAATGAACTAAAAGCTTCTTGAAGTCCTTTCTATTTCAAAGATCTAAAACATATAAATACAGCTTTCTTTACATGCTCCCTTGTATTACTTACTTTAAAAAGAGATCAACTCTCATGTTTGATGGCACTCAGTCTGGGTCTAAGGCAATGACGTTACTCAGTCGCGGTTTTTGGCACTAACCTGCACTCTATCTTCTTTTGGCAGAGACCAGTGCAAGCAAAGTTGCCATGGGTGGTGGAGAGGATTTTGTCTCTCTACCTTGTTCTGATCTTGACAAGCCCATTTTCGTAGTTTGGAACATCATTTTACGTGTCTGTAGCGGTGTACGCGGCAGAAGGCCTACTTCTCTGTGCATTTTCTGTGGCTTTTTTGTCTCCTACTTTGCAGCTACAGAATTAGTTCTTGGAAAAATAGGAATAAAAAATGCAGTCAATAAAGGAATCCAATCACCTTTTCTGAGGGTTTACAAATGAGTCTCATTGAAGTGTAGATAAGGAGCAACGTGATCTGAGCAATTCATTTATATTTACTGACTGTTCAGTGATTATTAAAAAAAAAAAATCCCTGTTTGTATCAAATCAGCTCAAGACCCAGAAAGAAAGACTGGAGAGCAGAGAGCTGCACATGAACCTCCTCCGGCAGAAAATCGCCCAGCTGGAGCAGGAGAAGCAGGTGCGTTCGGCCTTGGCGGTAGAGAGGGACGAGGCCAATCTCACCCTAAGGAAGTTGCAGAAGAAGATGGAGAGGCTGCAGAAGGAGCTGAGTGCATGTCGACAATCGAACACTGAGCTCAAAGCCCAAATGGCTGATACCAGTGAGCTTAAGGCAAGTGCCCATCTTCACTCCCTTGTTGCTTTGTGCAAGTTACCATTGCGGTTTATGTGAAAGCGTGGCAGTCTTATAGCAGACGCACCAGAAAAGAAGAAGAGATAAAAGCTTTCTGTGATCTTCTCGAGTTGGGGGAAAAAATGCAAAAACGACACAAAACCAGCACAGGAGGGCAGTTTAGCGTCTCTTCAATTCTTGGAATGAAGCCATAGTTGCTGTGTGAAAAGCCCATGAGAAACAGGTGATGGAGGGTGAAGTGGATGAAGAGGTCACTTTTTCTCGATGAGCCCTGAGTAATATAGGGATGTGCAGAATCACTACACTGAAGCTGATATAATACCGGATGTTGATTACACTGGAATCACAAGACAAAACAAAAGGTGATGTTAAGTGCAGAAAATATAAACATTTCTTCCAAGCATGGGTGACTCTGATATTTGGGATCAGGGACTTCGCACGCAGGAATATGCATAGCAAGAAATGAGAAAATGAGCACAGCTCTTCACTGAGAAGAGTCAGCCAGCCAACGTTGGGTCCTGTGCTCTGTGAGATGTCGTCCGTGTCCCCAGAAGTGAGGAAGGGACCCTGACTGGGCAGTGTGCTTCCTGGATTTGAGGTGTTCAACTTCTAATGGCTACAGAGAAGAAAGGAATTAAAGCTTAAAAGAATTTAATCAAAATCCTTAAATGTCACATATGTGTGCCACTGGAAAGAATATGTAACTTCATATGCATGTATTTTTTCTGGCAGAGAAGCGTGTCATGAATAGAGATGAGAATAATGTCTTAGCGCTTTACAGATGAGCTCTCTGCAATGGACTTTTGGAATGTTTCTGAGTCTGGAAACAGACCAGTGGGGAAAATGAATCTGGAATTAAGCTAGCACTTCAATATGTGTAGTGGGGACAATATTTTAGGAAATATTTCCTACTGTATTTTTTTCCCCTGAGTCATTAGCTTTTTTTTTCCTGAAACCTTTCTAAGTTGAGGCATTTTTTTCCCCAGAGGAAAAAAAAAGCAGACACCCAGGGGAGGGGACATATTTAAAAATAAGAGAAGCAGGAAGCAAGGAAAGCAGCTGATGGGGTGCGAAGTCTGGGAAGCAAATATCAAGATAAGTCATGCCTTGAGACTGACCTTTGGGTGTGTGTGTGCTGGGGTCGGGGTAGAACCCCTTTGCTGGAAGGGACAGGAGATGCTGAGGCAGCGTCGGTGTCGTAAAACCAGGTTTGGCAAATGTCCTGTGCTGGATACGGAGTGTCGCTAGGGTGTGTGTGTCAGGGCATTACATAGTATTCAGCCCTGAAGTGAAAAATGGGGGCCCTTTAATTTTCTTTCAATTCTTCCATTGTCAAGGAGAAAAATCTAAATTAGAAGTTATTAAGGCAAACCTTAAGAGACTCAAATACAGAGAACAAACTGAGGGTTGCTGGTGGGGCGGGGGAGGTTGGGGTAAGTGGGTGGTGGGCATTAAGGAGGGCACTTTTTGGGATGAGCACTGGGTATTCTATGTAAGAGATAAATCACTGGATTCTGCTCCTGAAGCCAAGACTACACTGTATGTTAACTAACTTGAAAAAAAAAGAAGGGGTTATTATGTCTTTACTGCTATTCTTGCTATACTCCGGCCTTGGGCCCAAGAAGATTCTGTTCTACTCATTGGCTTCCTCATGTTGAAGGAAAGATGAGAATAGTTCGCAAAATTGGTGTTAAATATTCACATACCAAAACATAGACTAGGAATGATAAATAAGGTGAACCCGGATTTCAAAACAGGGAGGTCAATTCCGTCATCAAGAAAGGGACGTGTTTCATTATAAACATGTTTCAGTGGAAGAGTTCAAATTCTTCAAAGAAATCTGTGATATAGAGGAAAGGGAAATATCACTGGTTTTTTTTTTTTTTTTTTTTTTTTTGAGAGAGACAGGGTGCAAGTGAGTGAGGGGCAGAGAGAGATGAATGAATAGAGAGAGAGAAGCGGGGCTTACCGGGTGCGGGGTTTGGACTCACAAACTGTGAGATCATGGACTGAGCCAAAGTCCGACGCTTAACTGACTGAGCCGCCCAGGCGCCCCGCACTGGGGATTTTCATACACTGAGCTTGCTGAACTCCAGAAAGCCAGAGAAGAGAAGGTGGAGCAGTCTGGGTGATTCCTAAGGATAACTAAGTAGGAGGGACACGGAGGAAGCCTGATGCAGGCGGGCTTCCTGGAGGAAGGACTGAAGTGAGGATGTCCGAATTAGACCACCACTGTGTCTGAAACCACGCGTTCCGGGGCTGGTAGCTACAGTGCGAGCTGCCTGGCCTCCCGTTCCCAGCCCCCTCCACCCTCCAGCTGAGGACATCTGGTCCCCACCAACAGATTTCCCCCTTCTCATAGAGTGAGGGTTTTCTGTCCCCGGGAGAAATTATGAAACTTAATTTAAAAAGTCGGGATTGAGTCACCCTCGCTGTTGATTTTCCTGCTAACCTAGCTCTGAGATGGGCCTTGCCTCTGCGGCTCGCGTCGGAGCACCGGTTCTCCATAATTGGGTCGCTGCTGTGTTCTTTCTACTCCGCCCCTCTGCTCATCATCTCAGAGCCCCTTGCTTCCCTTGATACTAGAGGCCTGCCTTGCTTTTCCCAGTTTCCAAAAACTGAGATTCCATCTCTGAATGTAGCAGCCTGGGCTCTAGTGTCAGGATTCTGACATGAATGTGCAGGTCCCAGCTCGTTCTCTGCGTGTCTCCAGATACCGAAAAGTGAAAGTATAATAATGTGCCAACAAGAGCGCTGGGTATTATATGGAAACCAAGTTATATTAAAAAAATATAATAATGTGGTGAATGAATATTCTATAAAGCAGACACGAAAATTGGTTGCCATTTTAGCTAATTTTATCACTGCTGAGGGTGACAGTTGTACTGTGCGGCTCTTGTTCTGTGGGCCTCGTAGAGTCTTCAGAATTACCATAGCTCAGGGGCCTGAATGAGATCGGCTTGCATGGAGCATGGCAGCACTCAGTCTAGTGACAGAGGACGTGATGATGGGACAAGGGATTTCCCATCGGTGACACCCAGGAACGGGTCCCAGCACCCGCTGGGTGAGAGTGAGGGATGAGTGGTTTGAGAGGTGGGGCACTTCCTGGGTCATGGCAGTGTGGGGGCCCATTGGGGCCATGGTCTGAGGAGAGCGTCTTCCAGGCTACGGTTATTGGCAGTAGGGCTGGGACCCCAGGCTGAGACAACATTATGAGTCGGAAATAGCGTTGGGGAAAGAGTGGCCCACACTTTCCGTAGCAGCAGTTGGAAAACAGCTACTGGAAGTTGAGTCCTGTGTCTATAGAATATGTTCCTGTTTGGTCCCAACGGTGTCTGCCTCAGCTCTGCACCGTAGCTCCCCGGGATTATTGTAATTATCTGCAAGTGGTCTTTCCACTTAACCTTTCACAAGCAAGCCTGATTTCCGTAATTACGTTTTGCTCTTTGGGTGGTATGATTATGCAACGCGTGGTTCTGGTGGGAGTGTCTGGTGGAACGATTTCCTATTCCGGTGTCCGTGGTGTAAAGCAACGTTTCCAAGTATGGGGCGTGCACCCCTTGTGGCATATAAAATGCTTCTAGGTGGTTCGCGACAGGGCACGGTGTGATGTTCACTCTTGAAGTGAAAAATGGACTGCCTTTAATTTTTCTTTCAATTCTTTCACTACAAGGAGAAAATCTTAATTTGAGGTTATTATGTTTTTATGCCTCTAGAACATTTGCTGGTCTACTTCTCAAACAAAAAATAAGCCTTAAGCTCAGTGCTGAGCACAAGAAACAGTACCAAGTAATACTGTTTTGTTTTTATTGTGCAGTGGCTCTTTACTTCTTTAAAACATTTTTAAATCCACTATAATTAACATACAGTGTTACATTAGTTTCAGGTGTACTATATAGTGATCAACAATCCTATACATTATTCATTGTTCCTCATAATAAGTTGCACAGTGTTTCTTTTATTTTTTATTTAATTTTAAAATTTATTTTAATATGCATGCGTTTATGAGAGATGGAGATAGGGAGCAAGTGGGGGAGGGGCAGAGAGAGAGGGAGACAGAATCTGAAGCCGGCTCCAGGCTCTGAGCTGTCAGCACAGAGCCCCATGCGGGGCTCGAACTCATGGACCATGAGATCATGACCTGAGCTGAAGTCAGATGCTCAACTGACTGAGCCACCCAGGGCACCCCTGGGTTTGTTTTATGGATGTCTTACTGTTGTGGCAAATTCTAGTGAAATCATATAAAATTCCTTTTAATAGAAGTGAATTCAGGGGCACCTGGGTGGCTCAGTCAGCTAAGTGTCTGACTTAGGCTCAGGTCATGATCTCACGGTTGGTGGTTTGAGCCCTGTGTCAGGGTCCATGCTGATGGTGCGGAGCCTGCTTGGATTCTCCGTCTCCCTTTTTCTCCCCCCGAACCCCAGCACTTGCATTTTCTCTCTAAACAAATAAATAAACTTCATAAAAAGAAATTAAGGTAAGTTAAAAAGGTGGTTGAGTTAAAGAAAAAAAATGAGTACCATAGGTGATATGTGGATATGGCAAAAACTGTGTAGGTGGAATGGGAATAAATGAGCTATAGACAAATAGATTGGAGAAGGGGAAAATACCAGTGGGAATTTGATGCAGTAAGCAGGTGAACAGAACTCTAGTTGGTTGTTGCCGACACCATGATGATTTCCAGAGTCAAGGAGTGGTGGAAGAAGCAGCTGAGCAGTGGACAGGGACCAGACCATCCAGGGTCTCATGTATCTCCAGAGATGTTTGGACTTGTCCTCTGGGTCCTGGGGAGCCACTGGACAATTTCAGGGAGGAGACTGAAGTCATCAGGGAAGAGACTAAAAGGAAACTGAGAGATATGCAAGAACAGGTGGGCTCCAGAATGACACTGTGGCCAATAGCATCAAAAGTAGCAGTAAAGTAGAGACCAAAGGACTCTTCACTGCACTTGGCATTGGGACATTTATGGCTCAAGCACG